TCAATGATTACGAACCAATTCTTCGCCTCTATTATATTGTGCTATATCTTTACGTACTGTTCGAACAATAATTACACTTAAGAAGCCTAAAATAATAAATATTACAATTTTCAAAATCCATATAGTTGACATAAAAATTTCGTATAACATTTTAAATTTCTGCTTCAAGAATGCCAACATGACCTGATGCATATGAAATAGTCAATATTTCTATATCATATGTACAAATTTTCATTCATACCAAACAAACATGAGACGACAATGATTGAATTCAATATTGAGAACCAATGAATTTGGACATCTTTCATGGATAAATAAGTATCCCAACGACTAGCCCAAGGAACAGAACTTGCTTCCCACGTCACAGAATAGGTCCAGATAATCTCATTCGTACCTTTTATGACTTCCTGATATCCACCGTCCCTAACCGAGCATTCCTACAAAAAAATTAAGTTTCGTCTAAAAAAGATAAACATGTAAGTAAGCAATCTAAGCAAAAATAAAGTAATTAAAGAAAGATAGTAATCGTCGAAAATTACAAAAGCACAATATTACCTAAAAATGCAAGAGAAAATTTTAACCGAATAATGTGAAGTAAAGCTGAAGCGGCTGCTATCAATGCTTTGCGGTTGCACTTCGAATCCAACCACACGATAAACGCCTGGTCGTGGTTGATGGTAACGCAAAATTATGTCAACATGATTATTTACATAAACATGACTGCCTTCTTCCCATCCAAGACGATAACCATTTTCATGAATAACTTCATTTGTATTCACAATTTCAAATCTTGTGGTACAGGGAAGATTATCAACTAATCTAAAATTTAAGCTTAAAGAACAATATGGAAAAATATCAAAAAAAGTTTTCTAAACAGTGATTACAGAACAATTCCATAAAAATTTATTTTTGACAGTGTTAGGGGAAATGATCAGACATACAGCATAATTTCTGAAATATAACTAGTTAAATTACTGTGAAAAAACTTGTGCTTAACCTCATTGTTATCTCTTAAAACTTAAAAAAAGAACGAAAAAGCAAGAATTCTTACAAGTGAACGTGATACTCTTCCTTAATTCTCTTTGCTAAATTATCTGAATCCTTCTCACTAACTGTTACTGGACTATGTGATGAACAAGTCGTGTTACATGTCGTGTTTTGCGACATGAATATCTGTAAAGTACATAAAATGACATGCATGAGCATATTTTTTCATGCAACTAAATCCACCAATTATGGGTCTTTTATTGAAATAAGTTCAATTCAATAAAATCAAAGAAACCAACGCTAAAAGGCGTATTTACAATGCGATCACCACGCATGACCTCTCCCAAGTTCTCCGATATATACTGAATTTCACCTTGAGGTCGACAAAATGGTAATGAATAGTATTCATATGGCACCACTGTTTTTGTAGAGGTTATCTTTATGCCCTGAAAAATCAAGTCAGAAAATTTTATCACAAATCATATTCCTAATACACGAAATAAGTGTTTGAAAAGATAAGCTACGTCAGATACGAACATAAATTTTTTTACGGTATCGACCGCAAAATTTATTTTTTAATCCTTGAAAACTAAAGTTTTACTGTACTGTTGACTAAAACCGTGTAGTTAACTCTTTCGGTACTAAAGACATCCTGTTTCAATCCATCAAGAACAAATTAATTGATAATATAACCCTCGAAATCGGTACAGCAACGATACCAGAAAAAGTAGAGTAAACAATTTAATATCATCTAACCTTTACTTCAATTGGATCACGATCTTTGAATTCAACTGGTGCGACACCCGGAACATAAAACCCCCGTTCGACGTGAAACAAGCCACATAATAGAAGAATTAGATATGTCACATAGTTTCCTCTTCGCATTGCTGCTTCTCTTCTTTAAAACTAAACAATCAAATCGCGGGAATACATGTACCTTCAAATGTTACTCAAAAACGAGGGAATAAATAGATATCAACATGATCTGAAACAGCTAAGAATTATTACGGTTACATTGCAACCCCAGGCATTTTGTTAGAAAACAAAAAAAACAAACAAAACTGAGATTTTAATGTAAAATCAACACTACATTCCTCGAATTAATACTTGATAACAACATATCTGCAACAAGAATTTGTTTTTTAACTTAGTGAAATAAAGAATATAAGTACTATCTGAGCACACAGAAGCATACTAAATATTTGTGTTTGAGTAAAAAAGCATAAAATCCCTCATTTTCTATGAAAATGGTAGTATTTTACAAATTACTGTAAACGTGATGAAAGATTGAGCAAACAAAATATCTCTACTCGCATGAAGTAGCAGTAATTCTAAGCAAAATATAAGTGACAAATATAACTGTTTATATATTCAATACAATAATTAGTATATCAACAATATACTTGCAATACACTTTCACTGCACAGAATACACTGTAAAGAGCAACAACTTATTCTTCAATTGCAAGATAATTAATTCACGATCAGCGAACCTAGATTTTAGGTAATCGCTGGGCGATGAAATCTTTTGTGTCGATAAGCTCCTGCAAAAAAATAGTAGTGCTTTAATAGTATACACAATTCTATTTTCAGTTTGTCCATTTCTTCCAGACATAAGACATGAAGATTTGCTCACCAACTAATGGAAAAATGTCGTCCTCCAAATAAATGAAATTTGGTATACTGAAATTTGAATGGAATCCATGTGACACTAGAAATTACTAGCGATCTGTACTATACCTAATAAAATTACGTTTCTAACTAAGATGATAGCTGACAATCATCCAACTTTATTGCTGGTAATGAGACCACGACAGTGTCATAGTCTTAAAAATCGTAGAGAAATTAAAAAAAATTACTTCTGCACAACTACTATGTGCCATCCCAGGGTACACTTTTAACGAAATATTGGGATTAAAAGTTTTGATGAACGATTCTGTCATTTGGCCGAAAGATAGAGGCACTAAGAAGTCTTGAGTACCGTGGCCCATGAATATTTGTACATTTCTGTTAGCAGTATGATTCTAAAACAAAATACAACTTTAAATTCAACTATCTATTGATTTTCTGAGTCCACACAAAAAATTTAAGTGAACCACTGATTTAAACCTGCAACTACGGTATAAAGTAAATTACAATGGACGTTTCTAGATAAAATTTACATATTATCAGAACAAACTTACGCCAGGGAGTTTTGTTCGTTGTACCAGAAACGAACTGAGACCAATTATTCCAGCAAGCGGTTTATCATAGGTTAAACCTGCATACAGTGCTAAAGCACCACCCATTGAAAAGCCTCCCAATATTATGCGTTCAGGAGGAATACCAGCATGGATTTCCTATAATTAAATTAAACCACACGATGTATTCCGATTTCTAGAAAGCAATAATGAGCAGCAACCTACGTAATTTTGATACAGGGAGAGAATAATTAATTACTTTGAAGAAAAATTCATAAATTAAGTAGCACTAAAACTTTAATCATAAATTGCCCATGCTAATTCTAGCAACAATTATACAGTTGATTCTTAACATAACTTACAGAATCAATTATAGAATGTACGATCATCGTCGATTCATTGATACCTTCTTCATCTTCTTCAGCATCAGGTGTCAGCCCATAAATGTCATACCAAGCAGGCATTTGCATACCAAAATTCAGAGTAACTCCTCTTGTTGGTCTGCAAATATCAACTCTACCCCGATTCTATATTACTCTCAATAAAAACAACACTTAATTCATGTAAGTTTTAAGTCTGTTCTTAATTAGTCAAGTAACTTACAGTAACAATTTGAACACTTGAAAAACTGATTTTTTAAAATAAGTTACAAATATGATAGAAAAACAAATAAACATTCAATCACATTTTGAATTCTTGGTACAAATGATTTGAGTAACAGTTCTTTCCAATAAAATTTTTAATTAATTTTAATTCATGTGATTTAAGGCTAATTAAGTAGTTGAGCTCATCTCTCATTCAATCATACTTCAAAAATATCCTTTCTTGCAGGAACGAAACAGCTAACCTATGATAAAAATGGCCTTTATCGAGATACTATTAGACAACTGCGAGATCCCTCTCGCCAATTACCAATTACTATAAAACCAATCTTTTGAGACTGAATAATTAGAATATTAAAATCACAACTCAAATTCATTTCTATTAATTTTTAACTAATGCAAAATAATTCAGACACGTTAACAAAAATAATAATCTAGAAGTAATCTGTTTCGTTCCTGCATTTCATTGGAAAATTTGTAGTGGGTAGATTTAAAGCAGGAAACTTACGCATTAGGACATATGTATTTAATGTGATCATGTCTTATCTCATCTGAAAATACAGAAGACCAGCCATAACCGGTATCACCAAGACCGTGAAGAAATATTATCTATAACTTACGAAAATCAGCTCATATTTTTTTAACAAATTAAAACTTATTTCTTCACTCTGCAAAGTCTTCTATCTGTACTACACATTTTTTAATATGACTTTATTACTAGCAAATATAAACAACACAATGACACACAGCAGGAACATTAGCACCTTGCGTGTTTATGCGCGAAATTTCAGCACAAAAAATACGCTGAACCGCAGCCCAAATTTGATCTAACAAAATAATTTGCTTGTACTATTAATGAAACATTACTAACTGAAAATTCGGATCCAAAATTGCTATTACAAAACAGGCACAAAGCAAAAATATAAGCAAACTTACAGTTGCTGTTTGTTTATCACGAGCAGGAACGATAACTGGATCAGCCATATCCATATGAAGCTTAGCCTTTGAACTACAGGAACCCGGGAAGCAATAATTAAAAAGCCCCAGTAATAAACGATTTGAAAAAACTGATGAGGAGCGAAAAATACCTTCTGGCATAGAATTATGAGTTATTCTATAGAGCTCTTAGCTTCTTTCAATCACGCTTTCAACAGAGTCATCGCAGCCTCAAATGCCATGGAAATCATTTACGTTCAAAATAAAGCAACAAGAACCTTATTACGCATTATCAAAGCTCGTTATTTTATTCATTTGAAAACATAACAGGTATACTTCACATTATAAATCTGTAACCGACATAACAGCTACAAAAAATGATACTACAATTTTCGTTCTTTTTTGTGCTATCATTAAACAACACCACTAACTGGAAATTCGCATACAAAATTGCTACTGCAAAACAGGCATTAAGTCCACGTACTATAAATAATTAACAATGTTGCTTTGCAATAGAGAATCTTTTAGCAGTTAATCCATTCAAAGAATGCTCAAAACCTAACTAGCGCGCTGTCACTGTACCCTCATCCCCGTTTGCAACCCAGTCATTCATGACTACTAAAAACTTCACGAGCAAACTATAAAAGTTACGACTCTATGAATTCCACATAGGACCTAATACCGAACCTCAATTACTGCAGCTCAATTCCCTTCATTCACTGATACTACGACTTCTGATGATTTCAAATCAATGAGGAAGTTTCCACTAGCAAGAAAAAGTCGTGCGGAACGATGGTTCTCTGTTCTCTGCCAAGTTAAACATGAACTTCATCGCATCCCACGCTGATAAACATGGCTAGCACTAATGGTTGTGTTATCATCCCTTTATTATGTCGTTTTGTATGTCACTAACACTAGAAAAAATTTATCCTTCAAATATAAAGACCAAAAATACTTCTACGCAATGTGAAACAAAATCGCGTTAAAGCCAACTAAAATATACTAAATATTTAAAACAAAATGGTGGCTATTTGTATACAAATAAGATGTGGTTGACTGAGTTGAAGAACATACCAAAAATATAAGCTGGATTTTAAATATAGGCAGGTGCAGAGAATTTTGGCGAGACATTTAAAGGTTCAAATATTTAGAACAATGATGTTTTTTCTGCATAATATAACCGAGTATATGTAACACATTTTTTTAAACAACACACAGGAATCGAAATTCAATTCATTAGTCGCTTGCAAGCAATGGTCGCTAGTAAATAAGTTAGAATGATTGATCCATAGGATCAGCTATTCGCTCACAAGAACAAACTGCTGTTAATTTTTGCATCATTTCACTGTAAGCATCCTGAAACGTGTGCACAGCAAATATCTTAAATGAAAGTCATAGATAAAATTTTCTATTCAGCAATTAATTTTTTTGCTACAGTCTTCTGTCGCCTTTCAAATAGTGCAATAATTTCCTTGATGAACATTACTAATTACACTCAATCAAATGCTGAAACTTATGTATACCTTGGCAAAACTACGATTAAGTACTGCTACTGCAGACACAATAGGCCATTTCCCTACAGCTTTAGATAAACTGTGCTTTGATGATACTCGCACAATATTTACCCCATTTGATACACATAATGCTTTGACTGCTTCGGCTTTCTTCATAAGTTCAACTAAAAATGAAACATAGCAAAAAATAATCTTTGTACAAATTACTCAACCTAGTTACAACTAATACATAGTAAAAACAATTACTTTTATCGATTTCGATATCGCGAGCTAGGATTACACATTGCACTTCACCAAGTGTTAACAATTTGCGCACTTCTCTTAAACCATATACCAGTGTACGACGTGATTTTGCCTGTAAAGTTAATTATGGAGAGCATGAAATAATCAATGACTATCCATACATTCTACAACCAGTTGAAATGTTTTCTGCCAAATGAAATCTTTTCTGCTTAATTACGGTGCACGAATTCAAATCAAAAATGAATATAGCAAATCTCCTTGTTACTATGATCTAATTTCGGTGGAATATTACTGACTGCATGGACAAAAAACAACAGTTTTTAATATATTCCCACGTCTTATTTATTGATGGAAATAATATACTTAAATCAATCTTTCTGACTCACCATATTTGCTTCAAAACTAATAAGCGATTTCTCGCATTAAGCCTTTCAGAAATTTTAACACAGTTCCAAATCTATATAACTTCCATCTTACGTAAGCATACACCATTACAGACTTCGATTACATTGTTTTTTTTAATAACGAAATTACTGAAATAACATAGAAAGAAAAACAAAATGCGTCACAAAGTAAAAAAAAAAAGAATGAATGCCTTGATTGGATTGCGTTTCCAAGCTCTATCTTGTAGGGCTTTCATTTTCTTAAGAAATTTAAATATCAATGCATCAGTACCCAGTTCACTTAAATTGAAGGATTCGAAAATTTCAGTAACCTCTTTTTCAACCTGCAAATATTTTCAGAAATTATGGAGAAGCATGAAATAATTAATGAGTATCCATACATTCTGCAACAAGCTGTTTATCTTTCACAGTAAAGAGATGCAAAATTCTGTAAATATGACATTCTTATATTTCATCTAATAAAAACACATTTCCACAGCAACTCTTAAATTCCTTTCGTTAACCACTAGTGATAACAAAATGATCAGTTACAGAATGGTGACAGTAAAATATCTGCACGAATATTTGCTGTAGCAATCTTTTAACTTGGACTGTTGCTAACCTTTTGACATGTTTCATCCTTCGGTCCTGTTTTGAGAAAATGTTCTGATTCCAATCCTTCACCTTGATCGGATTCAAATTGAGTCGTATCCATCTCCCCTGACATGTTGGAAAAACGCATACTGTGCAATTGGCACTATTCAAATGAAGAAATTTCGCGTGACACTTCATGGAAATTTTTCGCCAATTTTTATAACTTGAAATCGCTCAAATTAGGGGATTGAATAGAGAAAAAAGAAAAACTAGAACTGGAAGAACTAGACAAAACACTAACCTAAGAAATCCAACTTTCACTTGCCTAAAGTTAAGTCTTTGTGAGCAAGGAATAGATTTTTAAAAGGTTGATGTTAAAAAAAGATTTATATTTAGTAAGAGATTTACTTCAAAGTACACATAAATCTAATTAAATCATATTTTCAATGGTTCTGTACCTGATCGTACGCCCTCACTTAGCATTATTTGATTAATCGATTCTTTTATGAACGCTGTAAAATCATTTCGCTCTGCAAATTTAAATTGTAAAAACTTGGAATCATCTGTTATAACTTGGATAAAACCATTTAAGCTAACTAAATTCATTGTGAATTTTTGTACAGCACTCCGACCAAACTCAAGTCAAAACTATCGCATTTAAAGTAAACAGACGATCAAAAAATCAAGATGAAAGTACGACTACCGAATAAAAACTAATACTAGCTTAGACATAGCTAATTCGAAATACTACAAGCATGAGACAATGTAGCATTTCAAAACTATTATACAGGTATGGTTATGCAACTATAATGAAAAATTCTCATCTCAAAGTGGTTGTTTGCAATTTTGTCACGTGAGCAATAATAAACATGCCATAAAAAGAGTATCTGAATAGCATCTGCCATCTTTATTTGCACTTTAGTTGCATTTTTTATATTTCTAAAGGATCACTATGAACTGTAATGCGTTGTGTTTTAGAGCTAAAGTCTAAACTTACCAAATTCTTCCTCCAGTTTTTCAAAAAAGAAAAAACGCTCAAAAATTATTCAACTCAGTTTCATTCCAAAACATATCTGAACTTACTTTGAGCATCTGATTGACTCCTCTTTACAGGCAGTAGCGAGAGAAGGTTTTCCATTTCGCTCTGCAAATTTAAATTGCAGAAAGTTGACAGGATTTGAACTGAACTGAATGCAGCTGTTAAATTTCGTTACTGTCGTATAGTTTTCATGCCATACATACTTAATCAGAGAGCTATCGATGGCACAGCGAGAGTTTTTATCTCCATGGAAGCATTTCACCTCTAAAAACGTGTGCGTCATTTCTGATCGAAATGAACTGCCACTTATTCAGTTTGAAGATGACTGCAGTACTTGCATCCCAAATTATTTAGTACTATTATACAAAACAATTGAGCATTATTATAAAAAAGGAAGACCCTAACTTACTCACAAGGCGTTATTCAGTTCCTTCTTTGCATTAGCTCAAATTATGCTTCTTGGCTAATTTCCTGAAACATTTTTGATTCGATTTCCACTTATAATATGATTGCTCAGAGATTAGTTCCAGCATTTCAAAAATGTATCCGTTGGAGTAGTTTGAATTCATAATTTCCAAGTTTTTTATAGATTTGGGTGATTAAATCCTATTTACTTTAGCCGCTAATTCCGAGCACTTTCAAAAAGTGCCTGCTTTATCTTTCATATTGTTCAGTTGTAAGAATTGTACTGCCTGTATTTCACTCAGACTGCTTTCAGACAACTGATTTTGGTCATTTGCAAAAATATATGACTCTGTGTTTCTCTGCTTAAAAGTTTTTTACCCTATTTGTACCATTAATTACGGAAGAGAAATATGCAAATTTTCGTAAGCTTTAGTTTTGCTCAAGTTTTTAACAGCTTTTTTACGAAAGCGAAACTTTTGCAACTGAATAATATTCGTTAATTTTGGCAGTAATTTTTTACTACACAATTGGAATAGCAATCGCTATTAAGCATCAGAAAGGACCAAATAACATCATTTTCGTAAATTTTTTTCAGTGCAGTCGTTTGGAATTCTGATATGCAGATTTTTTTAGCCTTTGCCTAAAACCAGTGTATAAATTGGTGCATCTTTCAGATATTAAAATTAGTATGTAAATTTGAAGTCTGATTTATATTCGTTTTCCTGTATATTGCTCTTTAATGTTTGATTGTTACTTCAAGGGGAAGATTAATTATCTGCTGTTTGCTTAGATTTTAAAACTTTTTTGTTTAAATGTGTTTATTAATTTGTTATTTATGGAGTTTTCAGGAGGAGAGAAGTTCTTTGAAATCAACAAAATCTGTTATTACTGGTACTACAGTAATCCTTTTAAGGAATTGTTGTCTTTCTGACTGAAATTAAAGTATTTTTGATTTAGAATCACATAAATTAGGGAGCATTTTTCCATGACAGTCCGTTTTTTGAAGTTTCCAAGTGATTTTTATGTATCTTTTCAATTTTGCTTTAAGCTAAATTTTATAAAACTCTTTTTTTAATAAAAAGTGAGATAAATGGGTTTAGAGTACTTATTATTAGAGAATATATCGTAGCTACCGTTCACTGTAATTTGTAACAGAAAATTCATCTTTCTACAATAACTTTTAGTTGGAAAAACATTTAGTGATTAAGCAAAATTTACTTGGATAAAATAACAAAAATGGATTAACTAATGCTCGTAGATTAGAAATATGAAAATAGACTTGTCTTACTGTCTTACTCAAATCTGTAAATTTGAATCTGTCCACAATAATTTTCTACTCTTAATTTTCTACTCAAATTTATCGTCTGCGTCACTACATAATACTCGCTTAAGTGAAAGCTTGCTTCATAATTAATTTTTTATGAATAAAAATGTAATCATAGTATTTCTGGGCTAATCTAAATTTAGAATGAATTGTTAGAGCAAAATGAGATGTTGAAAGTAATGATTAAGTTTCAGAATTGATCAAAACAATTCAAATCAATCTTTATAAATCATTTCGAGGAATGATTGCAGCTGCAAAGTGTAACAAATATTTTCGTTTCATTAGGTTTATCATTTTCACGTTATAAATCTGCTACTGAAGTGAAGAATCTCTCTTCTGCCATTTTTTCTTTTGCTAGCATTTCGCTGGAAAGATATTGAATTTGTGAATCACTTCGGTACTGATTATGACAAACCTATTCCTGGAAGAGAATATTTATTATTTAGCAAAAGAAAAGATGAATTTGTTCAGTTTAGAAATAGCGAAAACTATTAATTCGATTTTTTTCAATGCTTATCGCTATTTTTCGTTTGATTAGCTGAAGCAACGCTCAGGAATAATTAGAAAGTCAAATAGTGAAGTAGATTTACTTGTAAATGCTTAAAGTAAAAAGCAGTTGAAAAGTGGGAAGAGAACTATTTATGGAAGAAAAATTACTTAAGAACTGCAGCATTAGTTTGTAATGTATCATTGCAGTTATGCAAAAAATTTTTCGTTAATTTTTATGAACTGATTTTTTTTCACGTTGAAAACGTGTGTAGGCATCTGATAACACTTTTGTAGAATGTATACGGGAGTTAAAGATCCTGGAAGTGGAGTTGGAAAAGTAAGTTTTGTATAATTGCACAATGAAATTAATAATGAATTTATCATACTACTTTTCAAAGAGGTAGCAGCAAAGATTAGAATCACAAACAAATATAGAAAAAGTATTCAGTTCCCTTTAATGAGGTTTTTTCCTGTAAATAAGGAATTTGAGCAGCATTTGCACTGAGTAATGTGCATATGAAATGTTATGTTATAGAGTGGTGGAGGTGGAGGTAGTATTCGTGAAGCAGGTGGCGCTTTTGGAAAAATGGCTGCAGCACGGGAAGAGGAGTACTTTTATAAATTGGTATTACTTTTTTACATTTTAAATTCTATTAATTTCCAGCCTCTGATAGATTATTCCAGAGTTTAATGGTATTTGGAATCGAGACTTCTTTCCAAAACATATTTTGGATTCTTGCAGCTGTTTTCAGTGGAGCAGATCATCTATCTACTTCTGCTAAAACATTTTGATACCGGCCCAAAGCAGAAATTTCTGGATATTTGTATAAATTGATGCGAAACTTTGCGTATAAAAGTTCTTGAAAACTTAAAGCAAAATTTTGCAAATTTGATATTTCGTTTCATTGCATTTGAGAAATGTGATATCTTTTCAAAATTTTAGGAGAAGCAACAGATTAAAGCGATGCGATCAGAATTAGAACATAAGTTGCAAAGCAAGAAAGATGCCAATCTACCGATGAGTGAAGAAGAAGAACTAACTTTGAAACATCTAAAAAAGTTGGCTGAAATTGACGAAAGTCGAGGCTTTTAATCATTCGTACTATTTGCTACTTGGCAGTACTCGAAATGTCTGCTAACTTTTTATGGAAAAATAGTTGCTCCTTACTAACCGCTGATTTATGCAGATTAATCCATCATTTAATTAACAGTAGTAAATTTCCGGCTTGAAGTCTGTAATGTAAAAAATGTTTATTTTTGAGTGATATGTGTATGTACTTGATTTGATGTTTATGTTTACTTCATTAATAGTTGGAGCAGTCTAAGGCAAATAAAATTATTCAAATTTTATAAAGGTTTTTGAATTCTGGTGCTATTTTATCGATTGCTAGCAATCAGCTTCCACAGATCAGCCCTTGTTAGCTTATCGTATTTTTTTTATCAGTGTCGCACCTTGCAGTCCTTTTTTACAACTTTTTACTGTGTGTTTATTATTGGAATTAAAAGTCAAATTTGTGGATATAACTTCTTCATGAATACAAATAAAGTTTTCTACTGAAAGCGTAAAATATAAAAGCATCAGTAAGTATTTACTTGTGGTCAATTGCTGAAACATTTTTTTATTTTTATAAAGGTTATTATTATTATTATTATTATTATTATTATCATTATTACTATTATTATTTTGTTTACTATTGCTACGCCACATTATTATTTGTGTTTCTTTTTTTATCAGTAACTGATAGCAATTAGCAGAGCATTCTTCACTGAGAATGATGACAGAGAAATAACGATCACTTTCAATATTTACTCTTTTTCTGCATTAGCAGTAATCATGTTAGTCAATTCAGCTGCGATTCCGTCGCTTCACTATTTTTCTTCTAAAAATAGTGAAAACGAAATATCTGAACACAAATTTGTGCTCTCTTTTCATGAGACACATACATCAAATCAGATGCAATCTCCCACTCTATTGAGTACAGAAATATATGCATGCATGGCATTTGCGTGATAAAATTCCACTCCATTCTCAGTCCACTTTTTACTCGAATTTTTTGCTTTTTATTGTTTTTATTTTTCGATTTGATTCCGTCAAAATTGTAGTGTTACTGAAATTTGTCATCGAGCAATTAGGAAAATTTGGCAAAAATTTACCAAAATATTAGTTCTTTTTTTATTTAGGAATTTTTTTAGCTAAGAAGTCGTATGTATGTATGTATTTGTCTCGCAACAAACTCTAAACTTACTGAATTTTGAGTAATGAGAGAAAGATGTGGTTGCGGGAATACTTCACTGCAGTAGCGTAGATAGCATTTGATACTTGCAGAATATCTTTTCATTTACAGAACTTATTTCCATGAAGTTTGAATTTTGAAGTGTTATGATTTAAATGTTCTTCAGCAGCTTGAAGAACGTTTTGTTCTTTTTCAGCATATATCACGGCATGAGTTCAAATGTTTTTAAAAATTATTCACTTTTTTCCTCCTTTTCACTCTTTGCAATATTTTTCAGCAAAGAGAATACATGAAAAAGTTAAATGAAACTTTAAAACAGGTCAAGCAAGCGATCACTCCAACGATTAACAATAATGTCCTATCATTTGAAATTAATAACAAATCAAATTATTCTAATCATTCAATTCCCTCCTTTTTGTAGAATTTGTTTTTATTAATTATTTTATTGATTATTAAATATTTATTAATTAAGTAATCATTTAATTGAATAATTAATTATCCAGTTATTTAAAATGGTTGTTCATTTATTCATTTGATTTCTCTGCATTTCTTTTATTCGTAAATATTTGATCTATTATGCATTAAATTAATCTGACTTAAATCATTAAATTTTTTTGGCTTCTTATCTGTGAAATATTGAAAACTGGTTTATCGACTTGAAAAACTGGCCATTGCTGCTCAAAAAACCACTACAGACACAATGGAACAAAACTCGGAATTTTGTGCATAACTTTGCAAATTAGAAACTAGTATAGTATTTAGTTAATTGAATTGAGTTTTCGAAACACTCATTTCTTTGAATCCTATCGATTAATATATGAGTATCACAAATAACTTCAGAAAAAATATAGATAAACAAATACGTCAACAACTTGAGCTCTCGCGTTGGCAGCTTGCGAAACAAATAATAATCTTTCGATGTCGAAACACAAAAACTCGAGATCTTATTGAAAATTTAACTTGTTTTTTTCCAATTTCGCAAAAGTTTCGTTACTTTAAATAATTTTTAAACAATTACTACAAAACTCAGAACAAATAATTTCAATACGTGTGTGTATGGTTTCAGAAATGAATTTGAAACAGCTAATCATCTTCTTTAAGAAGTAGAAAATATTCTGCTAATAAATTGGAGATTTACTCGCTGAAAATTTTTGGCAATTAAGATAAAAACAGAAGACTAATTTGTGTTTAATTTGCATAAATAAACTAAAAGCAGAAATTTTTCTACACTGACTTCAAATCTCGTTGTGTTGATCCAAAAATTGTAATTTTGTTTCATCGAAAGAAACCTGAACTTCAGATACTTATGCAAAGATATGAATGTGCAAAACCCATCAAGCATCCGAAACTTGTCTAAATTCCATTCTCAACAAATGAATACTTTGTTGTCAGTAAGCATCCAAATACCAAAACAATGAATGTGACAAAAAAAACAAGGCAGGAAAATTTGCAGTCATCCTTTTCTTCCTCCGAATCAATCAGATTATCAGATTTTTTGTGCATAGTGCCTCTCAGCATCAGTGCAGTATCTGTCTTATTGAATGCAGTTAATATTTCAATAAGCGAACGTGTGTTTTTGCTCGACTTCAACATCTTTAATTTTAAATTTCATTACAAAGCTACGGGTCATTTTAGAATCAGTTAGGTTCCCTTCAGTTATGTTTATATTTTGTAACTGGGTCTGTTAGCATCACTGTTTTTAATAGCAATTTTGAATCAACCTAGTAGACATGCATGACAAAATGTAAAGAATGTCGTCACTTCATAAACAGTAATATCTACTTTTGACTGCGATATTCACTAACATATCTATTACAGCACATTAGATGGATGAAAATGAAAAGTTTTCATCAATGATATCAACTGAGAAAATAACACCTCAAAGATTAATTAAATTTAGATTACAGCTTATAAATTTAAAGAAATAAAAGGCTAACTTAGATAGCTTCACAACCATGCAATTTTATATCTTGCCATGAAGATGATAGATTCATTTCAGGATGATGACCAAAATTAGTTTACTTTATTACAATGATTACTTTCATAGTTTCCAGCGAATTTATGTTTTGACAAGGAATTATTATCTAAATTACTTTAAAAATAAATTTTTTGGGATTTATTTCTTTGCACAATTTCTCTGAGTAAGAATTTACTTGGGAGCATGATTTCAAGAACTTTAAAATTTTCAAACTACTATTATATTTGAAAGTAATCTGAGTCAAAGGATTAACTTAGCTACTTTTTTAAATGTTGTTCGATAACAAACATAAACATAGTATAAACATGGCCTCACGAAACTATTATTTGATCATAATAATCGTCTCGTACTATTACTACTAATCGGTATTGAAGGCCTATTTCGCCAAGTAGGTTTCCAACGGTTATTTTGAAGTACAACTCGACGTGGTAATGGTGAGGGTGGCGGTGGATTTCGAAGTAGCCAGTCATCTCTAGCAGATAACTAAAAATTCGCATGAAAGGAGAAAAATTTTGCTAAAAAATATAAATTGAATTCGTTAGCATCCATGCGCAAATTATTTACTTAAAGTAATTTTAATTAGTGGATACTTGCAAACATTGCTTAAAATCAATGTGATCTAAACTAACTCAGAAGTAAAGTCTGCAAATCTTTTGATCAAAATTTTATTTTTTGAAATAATCATTGCATATGGAGATAAAATATTTTAAAAATTGATAATTTCTGCAGAACCACACAGTATATTTTAGTAAAGCTGTACCTTGTTTATTGAAAGAATTTTGTCTGCAAAAGTAATTTCGTCAACAGGATTTCCTGAAATATTACAAAGCATTTTTTTAAATTAATTTTAAATTAAAAAACAAGCTAATGCAACACCATTTTCAACTGGAAACGTAATTTTTGAATGCGCTAATATAAAGACATTTCTGATACTTTGGTCTACCATTTATGTTGCGAAGAATTAATCTTCCTAAAATCAAAAGATCATGTGATCAACTTTGCTACTTTTTGCGTTATTGTAATCAGAACTATACTTGAAACGCAATGACTGCCAAAGTCTTTGAATCTTCCTGCAGTATCTTCCAAGAAGGCAACTTCCAAGAATCCTTGGCCTAGAAGGCGAATATTCGCTGCGTCACAATGTAACTCATCACATTTACGCGCTGCTGTAGCAATTGTTTCATTACGTGACCGACCTAGCACGCGACCTGTACATTTCTAAAAAGACATCCAACATTGAAATGGATCACTTTTGATAATTAGTTTTTGAACAGTTAAATTCAAGCTCACATAGTTCAATAATAGAAATTACAATTTACATTTAGATAAAAAAAACTGAATTTTTTTCCGACAAAAAAGTTGCCACAAAGCTGATGAATGGGAAAAATTTCAAGAGATAATTAAAGTACTTGATGATAATAAGTTTTGAAGTTTTGAGTATCGTTTTCACTCCACTCGTTTACGCCACTCGACATGCGGACCATTTTGACGTCTCCATCGTGTAATTTATTGATCTGAATACTCGAATTTTGCAATGTTTCATTCATCTGAAACTGCTTCCTTGTATGATCATCTAAATTTCGGCAATATTTTTCCCAGAAATCCTTTAATAGACTAAATTTAAAAAGACCTCAATAATTTTAATTTTATAAATCACAATGCTTAATTAAAGTTTATTCCAAACTCTGCTATTTTGAAATTTACTTGAGATCAACAAATATCAGTAATTCGTACAATGATTTCTTACTGATTTTTTCGTTTGGTCATGTTCATTTGCAGTAAGAGATCTACCAGACTGACTTGAAATTTGATTTCTTCCAATTTGCTTCATAACTGCTTGCTGTTTTTGGCTAAAACTATGATAAAAGCAAACTGTATGCATCTAAAGACCAACTTTAGTTCAATATAGAATTGATATTCCATGGTCATTGTTAATTAACTATCTTTATAGATATCTTTGCATTAAGTATAGTGGGAGTTTTTGCTTGCGTTTTTATATATTATTAAGTTATAGAGATTTTGATTAAAGTAACTAACTGTAAGGAGTACTACAAGTTTAAATGAATAGCCTAAAGTGATGTAAATAAAAACTGATGCACCGTTAGAATTTTGAGTTTAGCCGTTTAAAGTTTTAATCATTATTTTTCTATTAAAAATGCATATTATTCAAGTAAGAAATTATCCAAAGAAAACCAAAGAAAGACCCAAAGGCCATAAGATTTTAACCACTAACCAAATATTTTTTCTTAGTTCTTCCGAAATTTGATCGCTTTTATTATTAATTCTCTTATCACATATTTCTTGAACATTCATTGCTTGACGATTGGTGCCTAATACAGCAGAATAGGCACTTGGAATTGGGGTTAAAATTGTACCTCGGAAGATGGTAGGTCGAAAATCAGAACTGGAGTTTTCATAGCGATTGTAAGGGCGCAATTTTGGTTTATAATCAAGTGGTTGTTTGCGAAGTTGCTCGTATTTTAAAATATTGGGAGACCAGGATGTGTCGCGAATGGCTGGTGACATTTCAGGACGATTCCAGTTTCTTTGCAAATTATTGAATTTGCTATCATCGACTGATCCCATTTTTATCGATCTGCTATGGATTATTGGTACTTTTGGAGTCATAAGCATTTTTTGAGATATTACAGAATACTGTCTTTCGGCATCCAAATGCTGTCTTCTGGCATGATTTTTACTGAGATCAAACCTCCCAGAGTATGATGCCTTCTTTGTGAGTCTTGTGAATTCAGCAGGTAAATTCATTTTCTTCGCAAGCTCACTTCGGCTTGTTGTTTCTGCACGTAATTCATTTAAATAAGTTTTACTTTCTCCTAATTTTCGACCAAGGATCAAAACATTTCTGTTCTTAGCTTGCTCTATCCATTTCTTAGTTGCTGGAGTGATTTTTTGATAAGGAATTTTAGTTTCTTGATAAGCAGAATTTTCAGGATCTCGGTCTTCCGGCATCATTTCTCTGGAAAGAAGGTAGCGATAAAGGTTATCTTTTAAAAGATTGAAAGACCCTACTTTCCATTCAGATTAGAAGTTTTATACTTAACGTATGATAGACAATTCATTCTGAAAAAGGTACTGTACGTGGTTAATATAGTAATGCTGAAAACTTTGTGTGCAGTATAATACAATTTTTTACGCAAAATTGATCGTTATTCCTTCTGCTTAAAATCTTTATTTTACGATTTATGATTTTTTCTTGTCGAACTTTGTGGCCTTCTATTTCCTTGAATACCGGAACAACTATATGCATCAAGAATCTATTTATTTTCCTCCAGAGCAATTATTCTAGTTAAATAATGGAAAGCTCAATGAAAGGAGGCACTCCAAAATGAAATAAATTAATTTGATTGAACATTCGTTTCAGATGACCGTATCAAAATGCTTATTGTAAGAAATTGTACTTATTACAAAAAATTAGTGCTTATCTGATCACAAATCGTTTTCATGTTGATTTAGGCAATTAATTAGGTTACAAGCTTGATGCTTTCCACGTCGACCTTATTTTTTGTGTGCTTGATAACATAAAGAATGAAAGTGCTTAAAATACTAAATTAATGTTAGCCCATTGTTGCATGCTAGAAGCACAAATGTAAATAGAAGTCTGATCGAGAATTAAAAAAAGATCCTGTTTTCCTAAAATGTTCATATTACTATTAGCAATTTGAAGAATTCCCTCTGATAGTAGTATGATCATAAAAATCTTAGATATTAATGAATATGAAATAAAACTCTATTAATATTATCAGTCGAAACATTGCTTTAAGTTATCAACATGATCGAACATTATTGGTTGATAATTTAATTAAACATTTAATTAGCTGAAATACCTGTTATTTCGGTGCAGTCATAATTCTAAAGATATTGACCACTTGCATAAGCAAACGAATTAACCTGTCAATTTGGGATGGCTTAACTTCGATTTGTTGTGATGAATGCTGATGGATTCTTTGAGGCACTCGAGACTGAATATGGATTTGTGATGCTTTTCTCGTTGCGTTATCCTTCTTCACAATAATCTCGGGAGAAGTTTCATTGCTGCGTGTTGTGGAAGAAGTTGCAGTAAGTTTGGGAAGTAATGGTGCTTGTATTGGTAAAGGTTGAGCAATTGAAGAGTATAGTGCCTGCTTGTCATGTAAAGATGAAATCAAAGACTGCTGAAAAACTGTTTGCCTTGGCTCGGTATACGTTACAAAAGACAAACTGTTCGCTTGCGAGTACGGTACTCTTCCCCTGGGTACGGCATTGATAGCACCGTACGGTTGGTGAGGAAACTGAGCAACATAAGGGCGATGTTGTGGAAACGGAGCTGGTGGGCCTTAAATTGCAAATTCCTTCAAAAATACCCATTTCTGAGAACATGTAAACCGGAGATATCCATCTAAATTTGTATATTTCTCATGACCTAATTCACATACTACTTTCATACATTTTTTAGTGATTGATTATCGAAAATGATTATCGAAAAAATAAGTAATTATCAAAAAAACCATTGAGTTGGATTTAATTAATTATACTGAAAGAAAGTTGACCAAGCAAAAAAGCGTGCACAAACAATAACTCATTATTTCACTGCAAATACTGATTTTAAGTTTTTTAAATAACTGAGTAGATAACAAAAATGGCGCAGAATGTTTCCAATGTTAATAGTCTTTTAAGCTTTATAGTCCGTTTCTTAACTGGCTGCTAAGTGTCCGACACGAACAAATTTTTCAGCTGAATTCTATATATCTGCAATATAGTATTGAATGCCTTACTACCTCTTTCATGCATTCAAATTCATAATTGCCAGAAGATTTATTCTTGACAATCCCATATTGATTCTTATGATCTTGAAAATTTCTATATTTTATGACTTTTATATAATAAATGTTGAATCACTTCAAAGTTAAAAGTGCATCTTGAATTAGTTTTAAAATAAAACGTTTTCATTGAATTACTTAGATATCCGTTGTAATGTCTGCGTGGTGCAAAATGACTGCTTTGTTGCGGGGCAGCTTGTTGCGTACACGGACAGTAATTGAAAGGCACTGCTATGCAAGGGCAAGGTCTGCCTAAAATTATCATTATGCATTATGAATAAAATTTTGTAATTGTGCAGACGCCTCAAATTTTAGTACAGTTATCAATCGCCTGTAATTAAATTAAAACTTGTTTGTTTAACTTTAACTGCAGGCGATTGATAGCTCTATCGGAAAATTTATACATCAGCTCTCAAATGACATTTTTGAACTTTATAATCACAAATAATAAACTTTTTCACTACCGACTCAAAATTTAGAAAAATCACTCAATATCATGCTTACTTAAATTCATTTATGCTGCTTACTTTTGAATGAAATTGATCATTCACTTACATAATTTCATTCAAAGTAAATTGAAGTAAATTTCTGGTATCTTGAATAAGTTAAAGTCAAATTTAAATACCACAGCCAATTAAAAATTGTCCCTCAAAATTGTTTCCTCGATTCTTTAATTCATTTGAAATGAGTAAAGTTCATTTAACTTCAATTCAGATATCTATAACCTGTTGAAATAAGATCGAATAATACAGAGCACAAAAAACATTGGGATCAACCACCTAAACAAGCGTAAGTGGTAATAAATCGACTTGTTGTTATAATAGTGATCGCAAACTGTTGCACTGTTCTCCAACAGTACATTTTCCTTCTACACCTCAAAAATTGGGATTTGACTGAAATTAAATAATAGTTCGTAGATTTGATATTTTTAAGATAAAGAAGTGGAAGTGGAAGTATATCACAGCGTCTATTTCCATCAATATTGCATGGACATTTTTCGAAAATTGTAATTTCTACCGAAAAATTTGAAAATTTATTATTTACAGTTTTTCTATTAACTTTGCAAATCTAATTTTTTCCACATTTTTGCTTTACATGAGTATTTTTAGCAACTGCTTCAAGTGTTACAAAAACCCATAGCCTTGAATTGCATAAAATATTTCGAATTCATTTTTAGGAATTTTAAGACTTGTATAAATTATCTTTTGCATTTACATGCAATCATAAATTGGTAAAAGAAATTAATTAAGGCTACCTTAGCTTAAAAGCTAGGCTTATCAGTTTACTAAGTACACAAGTGAATGCATATAAGATAATAAAAGTAATAAGGTACGAACATTTACACTTCGGTTTATGTTTCTGCTATTAGCAGTAATTAAAAGCATTGAAAAATTGAGCTTGTCAAAATAACTAAATGGTAATATTATTAATAATAGCTTAATAATACACGAAAGCACATTTATTTTTATTCACTGTCTTAAAAGTCATATTTATATTCAGTAACTATGGAAGTAATTCTAATTATCTTTGGCCACACCAATGTGCTAAGAAGAATTTATATAATTATGCAATAAAATTTGATGATAAGAGCACTAACTTTTACAGATTACGATAATGAGTGTGATAAAAATAAGGCGGCAGTAATCTTGGCAATAATAAAAGTAGTGAAACTTCTGATAAATGTGTTTAATGAATACTAATAGTTGTAAATTTATTTATTCATTAAAAGGGATAAAAAAATTAAGTTTTAAGTGTTCAAAATTTTTCACACAACAACGAAACTTTATTATTATCTCTAAAACATTACTCTTCTGTACGCTAGCTGAAAGTAGGATTGAAGATGAAATGGCTGAACTGAGCTTATTTCGAATAATAAACGTTTGCTTCAAAGCTAGGAAACATGAAATTCCCGTTTTATCACACAACAACCTTTCAAAAATATTCGTAAATTTCGGACAAGAAGATAAAAAAGCATGCAAAGGTGTAGAAGAAATGTGCAACATGAAACGTGTTTGCTGCAGGCCATACAGAATCAAGTTCTGAATCATTATTCATCATCTCATATTGTTTTCACAATACTTGGCTTTCTTATCATTTTAGTAATTTGTAATTGATTCGCTATCACTAATTCTATCATGTCAAATTACAAACGATTACACTGTCAAGTTTTGTTATTGTTGTTATTCGAGAACACGCAAATTACCAAGAAATAAAGAATTTGATCTAGTCTGATCACTATAAAGTATTTTTATCATTCAAAAAATTGTTTACTCACTATTACTATTAGGTTTAATTGTTACTATTAGTAATGACTAGAAATTGTGCTTTATACTAACCATTACTTGAATATTCGGCCTAAATTTTATGATTCCACGTTGTGATCAAGGAAAAATGAATCAGTACTGAAAGCTGTGAAAACATCTAATTATTACTACGTTCATTCAAAATATGTACAGAATTTTCTTATTCATGATTTTATTGAAAGGTCACTATCAAAATATGCAAAAGATTTTAATGGAAAAAGGTTACATACGATGCAAACAAAAATAATAGAATTTATAGTACTAATACTTCTTCAAACATGGAAGAGCTTCTTTTCATACTTACAAGGAATACTAAATCATGAAATTTTTTAGGCATGCAAAATATAATTTCAAACTTATATCAGGGCAAAACTTATTAAATAAATGTAAATGTTTAATAACATCTTCATTTACATATAAGTACATAGGCGATGAAAACAACTATCATACTTGATTTAATCAGGTGACCACGATCTTAAATTTCATAGTTTGATTATCGTTTTATTTTATCCTTATTTCACTTGAGATATAAAACTTGAGATGATATTTAATAGAGAGCAAATACTCTATATCTCAAAGTACTGGGGCATATAAAATTAAACTAATGATGGCTTCGAACTTCTCACAAATTGCCGAAAATTTCAAAGTTTCGATTGCAGAAAAGAAAGCTTTCAAATGTCAGAAAACAGAATTCCCTGAAAAATTGGTATGAAATTATAAAATTGTCACACGAAATTGAAGAACATTCATTTTTTGCAAATAAATACATCCCAAACGTTGGTCACATTAATTTCTGTGAAGTGAGTCAGAAGATTTTTGGGACCTTGGAATCCGAAAAAGTTTGGAATGTTCCATATGCGGTATGCAGCATCATTATTGTTTGGCAAAAATTTATTAAAATAAAAGTGTTGAAAAAAACTTGAAAAAATGCAAAAATTGAAAAAAGTAGATATATAAAATATGGGTGGCAGAAATAGATAGTAAGAAAATTGTGCAACTTTGAGTATCTAAACGGGTTTATAACATTTTTATGCGAATAAATCAAAAAATATAACAATTAAAACTGATCGCTGATACATTTACCATCTGAAAATAAAATTTAAGAAGCATATAAATTAAATTAAGTCCTTGTGACAAGGCTATTATTTTATTCGAAAAACCGTCATAGTATGAGAATAAAAAGCGTAAAAATAGAAATAAAGAGTAGAATGAATTTGAATGAACATAGATGGTTATGGTGGTCTGTAAGGATATATCTGGTTTCTGAGATCCATTAAGACCAATACAGGAAATCTCAGTACCGGGATCTGAGAAGCGACACTTCATAATTCCTTGGTTCAGTCAAGCAGAAATCAACTTCAAACTGATAAGAATGGTAGGGAGTTTTAGATGAGATTAAATTCAAAACTTCAAAATATCTATTAAAGTAGACGAGAAATAAATCGTCTTTGGAAAAAAATACCTTTGTGGACTTATTTCTATAAATTGTATTTAAATCATGCTAAGAACTTCTTGACAAATGTAGCAGCTTTGAGGGGAAGTAAACTACAATTATTCAGGAAGCCTTCTTCAAAGCTACTCTCAGATAGCGTTGGAATCTTCTATATTTACTCAGATTATTTCACTTGAATCGTTTTCGTCTTTATGACTTTTAAGCAATTGCGGCTTTCTTTCGTAGAATAAATTTTTCGCTTCGACTTTATCAACTTTTCAGCGTTCCAAGATGTTTGCATTAGTAAAATTCGACTTGTTAAATGTAAAGGAAATCAACTTTGCTTGGCAAAAACTTGCTGGATTTTGTTGATAAAGTTGCTGCCTTCGACTTGTCATGTGCTTTTCTTTGGAAATCATTCAATCATTTTACCATTTGTGACAAAGAAATATTATATACATGTGATGTGAGTAATCAATTTCTAGGAACTGCCAGTGCAACCAGTAGAAAAAATTTTCCAGTAGCAATAGCAACGTCGGCTTCGATTATTAATTGCGCTTCAATTGATAATCATTTTAACAAGTTGAACACTTCAATAATTTAATAATAATTAATAATAATGATAATAATGATAATAATAATAATAATAATAATAATAA